TTTGCTTCATAAAAGGATTTGTTTGTCGTGAGACTATCAACACCAATAATCGATGTCAATTATAATTTTTTGTTTTATTTATCAGCTTTTCATTAATTTTGTCAAATGATATTAATTTAAATAATTTCTAATCATTCATCACTTTAAAAAATTATGAATTCTTGAGGGCATAGAATTCAATCTCGTCATAGGTCCATCATGTTGCTACCTTGTTTGCGAACGAAACGTGGTATCTTTATTTCTTTCATCAATCTTCTTTTGATAAGAAAAAAAAGAGAACTAGGAGATAACCCCTACATAAGTGTTTGCTTGCTTACCAAGCCATCCCCGCAAGCTTTAGTGGCGAGTTTATCTTATCATTGACGTGATTTGTTATAAAAACAACATTTCGCTCTAGTGGCCAGTTTATCTTTTTATTAAGTAGCCCATCATTACCCTCGTACATGTTTGATTTCATTCTAATATTACCCGTTGTTTTTTTGTTGGGTTGGTTGGAGTGTTTTAATATTAATGGAAGCGGTGAGATAACCGGAGGTGGCGATGCGAAGGGCGGAGACAACAGGAGTGTCGGTGTAAGTTATTGCTTCTTCCTTCTTCCTTGTCGAACCCCCCAATCTCTACGTCTTCGAATGTTTCTCTGATTATCGGAACAATGATCCAAAAAATTCAAGGACACAGATACAGAAGCGATATGTAACTTCCGTTTGTGTAGATTGAAGATTTTAGAGATAATGGAGGGTGCGACTAAGGGAGTCGGGAAGAAGGAGGCGGAAGGCGAAATCGATCCCCGCTATTTCTGGAACTCATATGCGATGGCGGTGGAGTTGAATGATTGGAGGAAAGGAGCGGTGGAGTATAGGAGAATCGGTGAGTAGAGAAGAGAGAAGGTCGAATGGAAAACACGTACACAGTGGATATCCCAACGCCACCACGTGTACAGGAGGGCTCTCAAACCAAGGAGAGGAAATCTAGGAAAAAAAAAGCAGTGACATTGAGCAGGAAGGATCAAATGGCAATTTCGATGAAGAACTGGACCGATTGTGATATACAGCAAATATGTGGACCAAACATGTTAAAAGTCACCAACTTTACTATAGCTAAGGTAGGAGAATTTTAATATATATATATATATATATATATATATATATATATAATTAATTTACCATATTTTTGTAAAGTAATTTATAAAGCTTTTTTATATAATTTGTTGATTTTAAACATGTGTAAATTAAAAAGGACTTTACAATAATATTAAATAAAAGTAATATGATGATCATATATTTATTATATGATCAAATTTAACATTTAACTATAGATATTAAAATGATATAAAACAAGTAGTCAGTAATAAAATTTTAAAGGTTAAATAAGAAAAAGTATAATGAAACATTGTTAAACAAAACTCAAAAAAAGATTTAGTAAAATAAAATCTAACCATTTTGTATTATTGATCCAAAAATTAACTCACTGCAATGATAAACTAATAATAATAATAATAATAATAAACTCTCCTTGAGGTTGATTATTAAGATTTGACCTTACAAACTTACAAACTTACAAACTTAGGTGCTGTTTATTTTTTCTGAGGCAAAATGTCTGCAGTCTGTGGACCACATCTGTAGACATCTGTAGCAGAAGAGGTGGACCAAACGTTTGCAGTCTGAAAAAAAAAGATTGTTTGTTTTTTTAACATCTGTAGGCTACTAAAATAAAATAAAATCTAAATAAACTGATTTTTTAAACTACAAAGTGATTTTTTAATATATTTATGACTTTGTTATAAATAATTAACAAATCTAAATCAACTTTTAGTATTATTGTATAAAAAGTAAAAATTAAAATGGTACAAATTAACGTATATATTTGAAAAAAAAACCAACAATTTTGGTTGTAAAGTTATGTCTAAACATTGTAATTAGGAATCAAAGAATTTGATATATAAATGAATGGAAATAAACTTCGATTTTTTCAATTAAATCAATTAAAAACGTATCATAAATATTTTTTCTAAGAAATTGACGATGCTTTATTAAATAATGTTTTATAAAATTTGGCACAAAAAATATAAAAATATATATTTTTTTTCATATTTATATAAACAATTTCAATGACTATTATTATAATAAACTTTTATTTATAAATTTGTCAAAAATATCATGTTTCTGTCGTTGAACTTTTTTTTTAAGTATTGTAACTTTTTTTTTTCAAATTGTTTATCACTAATAAAGTTGGAATAAATATAAAAAAAACTAAAAAATAAAATAAAGTATATGTGTTTTTTTAGGCTAAAAGATGTCTGAAGATATTAGAAGACTCGGGTCCACATCTGCGCCAAAAAGAGGACGCGCAGACATTTTTAGGTCTGCGGTCTTTAAAAAAACAAACAGTCTGCGAAAGCTAATGTCTGCGCGTGGTCTGCGCCGCGCAGACAGAAGAGGCCAGGAAGATCTGCGAATAAAAAACAAACACCACCTTAGTCTATGTAATATATTGATTTCGTTGTTGGGTACAGTAACTTTTAAAATTGTAGAGATGGTTTTTTTAAACTATTTTAGTTGTGGATTTGGTTTATAAACTTAACGGGATATTTTAATTTTATATTATTGTTAGGTGCAATTTGTGCACCTTTTTGCACACCTTTTAGTCCCATTTCATGCATCTATTTAGCTTAATTGTTCTTCCTTTTTCTTGCATTTCATCATGTTCATGTTAATCTCTAGAACAACCTTATTTGCACACTTTCATGTCTTTTTCAGGTAAATCGGAGCTTGGAATGCGCTTTGGGAGGTTCCGGGAAGCATTGGTGAAGATTTCGGGATGATCGGGCGAAGAACGAAAAAGTTGGAAAAATCAAGTTTGGATTCGGAGTCAGAGGGGTACACGGGGCGTGTTGGATTTACACTGAAAAGTGAGCACGGGGCGTGTTTGACCAAGAAGAAGCTGTTGACCATGCTGAACACGACCCGTGTCAGTTTAGTGCAAATCAACATGGGCCGTGTTAACTGCTGAACACGACCCGTGTCAGTTTAGCCTATTTTAACACGTGTCGTGTTCGACCCAAAACTGCCTTTTGACAGTTTTTCCTATTTTTCATATCACGGGAATTGGGTCATTTTTTACACACAGAGAACATACCGGAGCACTTTTGGAGAGGAGAATTCAAGGGTTTTAGCAAGGGTTTGTCCGTTAATCATTGGGAAACATTTTAATTTCTTCTTTGTAAGCACTTTAGCACTTAATTTCATCTTTTAAACTTGTTAATCTTGTTCTAGCCATGTGTGGCTAGAACCCTAACTCCTCCAATTTCATGTTTTGACTTTTTGGTTGTGAATCAAATCATATGACCTGATGTTTGTGTTTAATTTCTATCTAGTGAAACTAATTTTATTTCAATCGAATGTTTGGTTCTAATAATGATTCTTATTGGCCATTTGAATTAGGGTTAGGTCATTCAAGTTATTCATTTTGCAAAATCCGTAATTGTTTTGTGAATTGAACTAAGTAACAAGCATTAAATTGATTTCTTATAAATGAATTTAGTGTAAATCTTTTCACACATTCTTACGCTCCCGAGCTTGTGAGGAGTATTGGGTGTTGTTGGGAACATTCACAATAAGCTTAATGCAATCTTTTAATCTAATTCTAAGAGCTTGTTTAGATTATGTTGGTAAGGTTAGGATTAATCAAAGAGCTTGTTTTGATTGATTAATGTGGTGAATGGAAAGTGTTAGAGCTTGTTAACACTTTCAAGTTCCAACTTAGATAGAATGAAACAAATGTCTTGTCATCTTTGGTTCACATTGCTGGATTGTCATACATGAAGTTGGAGTCCCTACAAAATCTGAACTTAATTCATTCGTTTAGTTGTTCACTTGTGTTTTAAATTTATCTGTTTAATCATTGCATTCAAAACCCCCCTCTTAATCTTTTGTGAACAAATATCTTACGCAAAACAGGTATAGACTGATTGTCTCGTGTCTCTGTGGATCGACCTTGCTTGCCTTGTACTACCTTTCTAGTGCAATATAGTGGGATTATTTTGGAGTATATCGTACCCCTATATTTGTTGGGTTTGACACGCCTAACAATTATATTTCTTATTAGTTTATGATTAAAGTTACTACCTTACTCATATCTCTCTTCATTTTAACCGATCTACACCCACATCCACACATGGATCCCTTCACTCACTTTCTTTGGCCACCACATTCCTCCTCCATAATGTCTATCAGTCGTCTCCTATACTCTTCCCTTTCCTCATAAAACCTTCTGTCTCCACATGATAATTTATCTCTTCCATCGTTGTGAGTAACTCTAGCCCGTTGTCTTCGTGCATACAACTCATCCACCCCTTCTCCCAAATCACTGGTGAAAGAAATGGTGAATTGGTGGTGATGGTGGTAGCACAAAGATGTCAATAGTAATAACGTTGAGAAAAAAAATGTATAATAGGCAAAATGATCATTGTAGCAAACTTAACAGACAAAAATAAATGTTTGTTAAGTCTTTAGACCAAATCCACAACCAAACAAACACAAAAAATGATAATATCCGTACTTTTGAAAGTTATTGTTGGACTACATCGGAAAAAATCAGCAAACCATAGGGAACAAATTTGCAAGTTTCACAGAATCTTTCTAAAATATCCTTAAATCTGCATTTGCTTACCGATTTAATCCCTCTGCCAATGAAATACAATTTTGAGTAAAACACATTGACCATATCCATAACAAAATACAAACTAAAGATGACTTCAAGTTTTCAAAAATGGATCAAAGTTGTAATTTTGAGTAGAACACAGGAACCAAATTTGTATTTTATGCAGAAATAAAACTCTTTAGGCCACATAGTATATCACCCAGCAACCAATTGTACTGGATGAGATATTTGGTTTAGAAGATTAGGGTATTAAAAACAAAAATTATCTGAATAAATACCAATTTCCTTTAAAAAAGAAAATCCTGCCTCATGAACTGAAATGACATCTATATTAATAAAAAAAAAAAAAAAAACTAAAATGGGAACTGTTTTTCTTTTTCCCAACTCTGCAACTCCTCCATCTAACAACACCAAAAAACAAAACGACATCGTTTCTGTTTCTTTTGTTTTCCACTATATATCTTGTTATCTCTCATTTCATAAGTCATAACTCTGTGTTGCGTGAGAAGGAAGGCAAAGGCATGGCTTCCTGTGGTCGAAAGATAACCAGCACCGCAAACATCCCAATCATTGGAAGCACCAGCAGCCATTTCAGCAATTTGTAGTAATGAAGATGAAACGTCAACGAGAACTCATCAGAAAAGTACAATCCATTCTTGTCGGTCATCTCCACCACCACCGTTCCCGTCGTCCGTACACCCACCGTCGGCAGCTTCATCCTGTATTTCCCGGCCTTTTCAAACACCTCGTTCTTCTTAATCGTTCTTTCCCCTTGGTAATTTCCCGGAACCAACAACGATGTCTGCAAAATAAAAAAGTTCGAGCGGGAAAAGCAAAAATCGATTTAGGTCAAAATTGGAAACCCGATTTAGGTCGGAGTGAATCTTAAACATTCGTTTCGTTTGTAGAGGAAGTAGATCTTACAGTGACATTGTAAGGGCCTTGAGAACCCGAGGGCACCCTGTGTTTATCTACAATTTCAATTTCCACCCAAAAATTCTTTCCTTCTTCATCGCGGAATGTTCTGGATGAAGGCGTAACGTACACCCCTTCACGCTCAACACGAGCTGCAACGTTGTTTCGTCCTTGATTATGTGATCTCCATGCCTATATAATATTTAAAAAAAAAAAAAAAAATTTATATCAACAACCAAAGTGGTAATATGGACATTTGGCATCCATGACTTGCCTTGAGAGGATGATGTGGAGAAGGTGTTGAAAAACAAAACACATTCCCATTCATGGTTGTCACTATAAGATCAAGATCATCTCCACCATCAACATTGTCCGCCAACACCATGCTATATCTATTCATTAAACAAATTTCATAAATATACATACCGAAGGTATTTTGGTCTTTTAATGAAAAAGAAAAGAATTGAATAAAATTAGTTCCACCTAGGCCTAAAAATGGAATTTAAAGAATTGTGGCGGATCCGAATTCCATCCATTTGGCAATCAAACACACAAAGGAATGAAATCAGGGATTCCGACTCCGTCGGAATCGTGGATTCCGATTCCGTTGGAATCCACTTAAGGGTAAGAGAGACTTACGATGTTTCGCCGATATCAACAACATCAGCACATGAGGAAGGTCCATCGATGAGATACAAATAGCCATCAAATGAAGTTGTGACGAGTGTAAGTCCTTTCTTCTTTTCCTTTCGTTTACCCAAATCAACAAGGAGGACTTGATTCATGACTCTCCCATGGGTTCTGTATGGATACGGGCGTACAAATGACCCGTCTTTACCACTTAAGACATAAATATTTCCAGATACGGTTGGAACCACCACATCAGTGTGCCCATCTCCGTCCACGTCACCAACACTCACACCCTAAGGAGAAAATGTGAAATCGGGTTTCTCATTAGGACATTGTACTTTGAAATTTTCAAAATTGCTTTGTATTTTCCATTTGGATAATAATAATAATATTGATATAGGAGGAAATGAAAGTACATTGCTATTTCTTGCATTTGACCCTAAATCATAGAATCATATTAATACCTGAGGAATTAAGCTTTTAAGATGAACTTCCCAAATTTCTACACCTTGAGGAGTCCATGCAGCAACATTTCCATGTACATCAGTAGTCACTAATTCAATCTTTCCATCATCATTGATATCAGCAGCCACTACTGCACCCTGGATTTCAGCCATCTCAAGAGGGAACTTCTCCCTTACTTTGCCTGAAAAAAATAAATTACTTTTTTACCCTTCAATTGCTCAAGCAATCAAAAATGGCATTGTACTTTCATTGCCCTTGTAAAGTATTGTTTGTTTCATATAGATTATAAATACTTGCAAAAATATTTTGAATCACCGTTTTATCAATCCATTGTGCATGAAATTTTCATAAAGTATTTTTTAGATAAAATAAAATAAAAGGGTACTTCATTATTTCTTTTAACAAGGGGGAAATGGTTGGAACTGAATTCCATGAATACCAATGGAATTCAATTCCTTACTCATTTGCAACCAACTCCCGGAATGGAATGTGATTGGAAAATAAAAATACTATTTAGAATTTAATATTTTAATTAAATTACCTTTATGATCAAGGACATAAAAAAAGCCATAAGAAGTTCCTACAAGAATGTCAAGGTATCCATCACCATCCAAATCAACCACAGTTGGAGAGGAATATATATAGGCACGCAACTTCCCACTATCAGTACTTAAATCCAATTCTGCTGTCCACTTAACTTGTTTTGTCTCAAGGTTAAAAACGACAATTCCTCCACCAACATATTTCCCAATATCAATACCATCAAGTTCCTTCACATGCTCTGGATTATCATAGTACCTGAAAACAACATCCATTGTAAAAACAAAATAACAAACTAATAGCAGTAATTTAGGGTTTAGGGTTTGGGGTTTATACTTACTCATGATCAAAGAAGTATGACACTGCAATAATCATCTCAGAAACCCCATCACCATCAATATCAGCAATCACCTGAAAACCAACAAGAAAAAGGGCATTCACGTCTTTTGCACAGAGTTATAGCGAGAGTTCACAAAATGTGTAAAGACTTACAGGTGTGCATAGAATGTGTGAATCAACATGGACATAATTCTGAGATGCTTCATGTTGTGCTTCAGTCCACTCTTCATCCCCCCACATTGTTTCATCAACATAATCATCATAATCATAACTATACTCATCTGCCAGCTCATCATTGTCACGAAACAGCTCAAAAGATTGATCAGCATCTGCCTCAAGGGCTTCATTGTTTTCAACAGTTGCAACAGGAACATCCTTGTGATCATTGGTATTAATGTTTTCTTCTAGAAGCCTTCTTCCAGTTTTTGTTTCATTATTAGAACCTTCTAGATTCTCTGGTGCAGATATTGATGAGATATTATGTGTGTCATTTGGCAACTCGATATGTGGAATAGTATTATTTTGTGCATCACTCTCATTCTGTGGACTTCCGGAATGTTCCTCTGAAGAAGTATTCATTGTATTCTGTGGTGGTTCAGGTTTTGGCTGTGTTTCATTCTCTTTTCCCTTATTGTCCTCCACATCAGATGTATGGTTTGCTTCTTTGGGGGCAGAAGAAATATTAATCGAGTTAATTTATAGTTATGATGTTAATAACCACTTTATTTAAGCAAAAAAGTTTAGAAAAGAGGAAAAAGTTCTACATATCCATTTGAATGAAAACTCAAATTCAAACAAAAAAGTTATCTTTTTTTCACCAACAGCATACTTTTCAATTAAAAAAAAGTTGTTTAAACAGTTGGCAAAAATTTATTGCAAATCAATCAAGTCATGCTTCTTAACTCTTTTTCTTATTAAGGCATAGTACTTTGATAAATATACTCAACTATAGCATTGTACTAAAATCTTTTTTCTTGTTAGGACATTATACTTTTAAAATCTACCCAATTATAGTAGTGAAATTTGCTTTGTAAATGGATATGTTTTTCAAAGTTAGATGGTGTATGCATGTAATAGATAGAAATGAAAGTAAGATGATATCATGATATAAGAAACAAATCAATGGAACTACATTGCTATTTTTTGCATTTAACCCATATGAATATTTTCCCATCATTATTTTATAAAAAAGTAAAGACATACGAGGTATGGAGTGAACAGCAGACTCCTCTTTAAGTAGGTCATCATGAACATCTGGATGTGATCGATCAACTACCTCTGGATGCAATCCCACATACCAATCCCTTTTAGCTTTTAGCCTAGGAACCTCTAGTTTATCTGACATCATATAACCTGAAGCCCTGCAAAATGTAAACAAAACCAACACTGAATATGGATGCTCCATGGGTAAGGGTTAGACACAAGAAATAGCAATGTACTTTCATTGATTTCTTTATCATATCATATCATATACAATTTACAACAATGTACTTTGAAAAATCTACCCAATTACAGCAATGAGATCCAAATACAAAGCAATTTTCACTGCTATAATTAGGTAGATTTTTTAAAAGTATGTGCTTTAATAAGAAAAGAATCAAAAGCACAATGTTGTAATATGAAGAAATGAAAGTGGGAAATGGAAGTACAAAGATAAACGAAAGTTTGTTGCTATTTCTTGCATTTAGCCCTAAGAAGAAAAGGAAAAAAAAAAACTAATATACCGGAAGAAGAGCACCTCGCCATTGTATGTAGCCAAAGCTATTTCTCTCACACCATCTTTGTCAATATCATATAAGAGTGGACTTGCATGAACAGTGGATTGATGAAAAGCAGGCCATCCTGATAAAATCATACAAAACAGAAGTATTATACACAGAATGAGGGTATTTTGGTCTTTTGATGATCACAAGAAAGAAGTCCTATAACAGAAAAACATAGTGTAGAGATGCAAATAAGAAGCAATTGATTGTGATAGAGCAATATACCTGGCATTTTGTCTCCATCAGAACCTTCTAGAACTTCCAGGTAGTGAACAAAAGATGGAACAACAACATCAAGCTTGCCATCACTGAGATACAGAAAAGTGTTATTAATAGGGGATATTTATATAAGTATATACTTGGATTGAAATACTATATGAAACAAAGTTTATATCAATAAAAAATGGTTTGCAGTAGAAAATGGTAACACTACATTGAGGAGACAGTTGCCAATTCTCTTTACCTGTTGATGTCAGCAATCAATGGTGTTGCATATATGCTAGAACTAACTTCAGTCTGCCATCTTAGCTCCAAATTCTGAGGGCATTGTTTATTCAACAATTCATCCTCATCACTACCACATCAAAAACAAAAAAGTCAGTAACAGAAACAACTGTAAAAGATGTACACTGTTAGAAAGAAATACTAAGAGCAGTAATATTGAAACACTTCAAGAGTCGCTTACACTAAGTCCCTATCAGGCTATCACTCTGTAATTCTTCCCCTATTGTATTTCTAACTAATAGAGACAAAACAAAATATCCATGATGAGAAGTTATGTAATCACCTATGACTAGTTTACTACTAGAAGACCTTGTAAGGAGATTACTAGTAAGCCCTCATAAAGAACTCACAATCAATACCATGTTTCTACAATCCCCCTACTTACAGGCCCATACAGAAGCAAGGGCACGAACAATAAATCATGATCCAGATTCAATTCAATTCACCTCAAGGGTCAATCGATAATCCAAATGAACTAACTTAAGCAAGCTGATGAAATAACTCCCAAATCAGCAGAAATCACGGTAAGAACTACTTCTAGGTCTTTATTAGGAGCTCATAATTCAGAAACGGATTCATGCTCCAAATGATACAGGAGTAGCTAAATTATCAAACATAAAATTATCATGCAAAAAATGGACGAAATTCAAAGTAACAAATAAGAAGGCTTACAAATTGGGATAGCCCAGGTTATCGTCGGTAGCCTCACGTTCACGAAACTTGTTCGTTTTTGCTTCCTCTCCATGGATTAGACTCAATGATATAGAAAAGAGAAGTAAAAGAAATAAAACCCTAATTTTCATGAAGAAGACCTTGATCTTACTAAGTTCACTACAAGATGAAGTATGTGAAATGAGAGAAAGCGTACAAATGGTGGATCAGATGTAGATATGAATAAACCCTCGGGAATCTTCTCTGTAACAGAGATTTTCGCAAGTAGAGACGACGATCCGAGAGGGACGACGACAGGCAGCAGTGTCTATTAGACCTGAATTGGAGTTACAGAAGACCCTCCCACCATGAGCGGATTTAATCGCACCCTTCGTGTTTGGTAAGAGACCGAGAAGGTAATGAGGAAAAAATGCATTCTATATTTCTATTATCATTATTTTGGTTAAAAGAAAAATAATCTTAAAATTGTACATGTTAATTATTAGGTGTAACCAAAATATAATAAAACTAAGTTAGATGGATTATTCACAATATTGTGAGTTAGTAATACTAATATACAATATAATAAAATGATAATTATGTTTATAAAACTAGAATTGTATTCATGTTTGAGCATTTTTCGATACCAAGTAACATTGTTAACGGTTTGTGGTTAGGTTTTTATTCGCAAGAATAAGATCAAGCCCATATGACGAAAAACTAACTCATGACAAATTTGAAGATGAATATGATATAGGAACTAGCCTACGAAAAATCTCTTCATGGGGCACTGCCCTCGGTCCCCGCAAGGGGCGGCTCCCCCTTGACCCCCTACTAACAAGTATAATGTTAAAAGGTGAATCAGTCTCTACACCTTAATAAGTTTCACATTTCCTCCACCAAGATAAATCGAGTGCCTAAGATTGCCGGTTGTGAGGTTAGTGATTGGGTGTTTAAGCATTATCTCATAAATATGACACAATGCTTAAGATTAATAAAGGGTTAATTAGTTTTGCAATCTTATGATTAAAATATGTTTAATAATTTCGCCTTGCTTCAAAACTTTTTTAATCAAAATCGCGTTTGTTACTTGTTAAAAAAACTCTACTTTTGGTGTCTTGTTTTAATTTTGTATCCAATAGGTGGCATACGATCAATTATTACAAATAAATTAAAATCATGTAAAATAACTACACAAAACTATTGTGCGCATGTATACTAAGATATTAATTCCACCAATGGCGTGTTCGGTACGAAGCGTTTAGGAGTGTTTGAGAGCTTCTAGCTTCTAGCATTTGACAAAACGCTTCGTTTTGAACAAAAAGTCTTGTTTGGCGCTACAAGTTTCTAGCGTTTAGTTTAAACAAAACGTTCCAAATCCAAAAACTACTTCATATAGCGTTTAACAAAACGCTACAAGCTACAAGCTACCCGTTACCAGCTAGTTTTGCCAAACACGCCCTAAGTCATAGCAAAAGTTAATATGGTTAATTTTCTAGAGTAATACCTAAATTATTGCAATAATAACTTTTTTATATGTAGATCTCGAAATTTGTGCCATCTTCATGCCAACAGCTTTTTGAACACTCGAATTCTCGTCTTCTTGTTTTAAACCTTCGCTTGATTACATAAAATCAAATACGAAATTTATTGTATTACTCTTACATGAAGAAAAAAAACTCGGCTCGTGCCTCTTTGAAAATTTACAATTACAACAAAAAACATGAGCATTGTGTACCTAAATAAAAATAGCCAAACTACGGATATTCAATGACAATGGTCTTAAGGTGAATGCTAACCATGTATAAAAAATCATATTATATATCAAATACATAAAATCTGTTGGTGATTTTAGTATTATCAACATATTTTAGTATAGTTATTATTAATATTGGGATAGACTGAGCTTCATTTACTAACCGAGACAGGAGGTGCGGGGTACACACTCGGAGTGATAAATATGAAATCGGGAATACGGAGGGTCTGAGGACAGAGCCCCTGGATGTAGGTTTCCAAGGGGCTGCGCTACTGGCGGGGTCTAGGGGTAGTGCCACTTACGGGGTCCAAGGGGGAAAGAAACCTAAACGGATTTTTAAATCTAGAAAGGGTCCAACCATGCAAATTCCCGCCAAAACTAGTAATGATGTCATAAGTTGGTTATGTCATAATAACCAACTCATTTTGGCGCCAAATGCATGTAACTTTCGTCAACCAACTTTCAACCGATTTTCTATCATCTATTTAAGGATGATTGAAGTTCCAAAATTCGGTTGGAACATAGATACTCTCGAAAATCATTCTTCTAATTATATCATTTTTTTAAGAACACAAAACAACAAGGTGTTTTCTGTGTTTCAGATTTAGAAGTGGCATGACTTCTAAATTGCCGTTCATTGGATTATCTCAAATATGATTTCGTGATACCCAAAGTTATAGGGTCAAAACCACATATTTTGAAAAGTGATTGCAATCACGGTCCTAGAAATATCCAAGTAAATATCTTTCTGAATCCACTTTCTCTATTGACATATAATAGTCTCAACTTGAGTGCCTTGGAGGACCGAACCCACGTATGTGGCAAAATACAAGAATGACTTGTGGCTATTGATATTCTTAAGACCTCAATATCTAACAAAGCTGTATCTAAATAACAAAAACAAAAGCAAAGGAAAATCACAAAATTTAACCATGCTTCCTTGTAGGCATGGTTCATGCCATAAACAACTTCACAAGGCAATAATTATGTGCAATCTGCACTGCAAATCGGAGCCAAACACTTGACTCGCAATGAAATCCACGCATTGGCAATGCCTATATGGTAACCATGGAAGGTTCTAATATTTGATGTTTTGTTTTCATAACAAGCATAAAACTTTTATTACACATGCAAATGAAATCGAAAATACATCCACCGGGATCACCAAAGGGATTGTATAAATAATGTGGGGTTGTAATTTATGTAAGAACCAAAACAACTTTCCTTTATTAATATACATACACATGCAAGATAATCATACGTCGACTGTTAGTTTTAAAAAATGATGTTTTTCACAATGTATGTGACATCCTTAAAACATGCCAATTTTTTTCACAATGTATGTGACATCCTTAAAACATGCCAATTTTGAAAAAAAAATATATGTTTATAAAAACTCTTTTAATATTAACCGCAACAGAAAATCTCAGGTAAATTTACAAATTTTTAATAAACCAGAAAATGTCTAAAAATAAAAAAATGTGAGGGACGCCTCAACCATGTATCATTTCATAAGTAACTCAAAAAAAAGTCTTTAAATCTCTCAACTAAGCGATGCATTTCTAACCACAAGTGTTTCTAACTTGCTAGTCAAAGTAATAAGTCAAACTCAAAAGCATGGTGAACGTAGATTGGCTCAATGCATATGTATATCATAAACCACAAATATGATAAAAATTGTACATCATACATACTTATAAAGCTAACATTTTTTCTTGAATCTCATGCATTTGAAACCCCCTTTTTTAACTTCCTCAAACCACATTCATTTGAAACCCCATTTTTTAACTAATGCAACTCAAAAGTTTTCTTAATTATGATTTAACATTCAAAAGTTTTATAACGTATATTATGTTTAATTAGCATTTAGTGAAAAGTTTACTATAAAAAGGTCAATCTTTTGGGAAGACATGCATACAAATCATATACAAATTTCAGAAAGAAAACAAACTTAAAGGTTTTTTTGTTGGGTTGAGGTCTTATGACCACTTTTGGAAATATGCTATTATATTAGAGCTTTTAATTTGTAAGTTTGTTATACTAATTAATTTTTATATTTTCTTCGTTTTTGGATTATTGTAATACAGTCGTTGTATATTGCGGTTTAATCGTTAATATATTGATCATATGTTATATAGGGTGATGTCGAAAATATTTAATTAAATATTTTAAATATGTTTTTTTTGTTTTGTAATTGTACCGTTTCAAAAAGATAATTAATTAAAACTTATACATATGTTATAATTTCCATCTCTCTCTCTCTCTCTCTCTCTCTCTCTATATATATATATATATATATATATATATATATATATATATATATATATATATATATATATATATATAATAGAGGTCAAAACACTTCAACCAAAATTCATTTAAAATCTAATATTTCAAATGCTTTTTAATAATGATTGTAAAAATTTCAACATGTGTTACTTAATTGATTGATTAATAAAAATATTAATGTTTTGAAACTCCTAACTCATAAACTTATATTATTTAATTTGTTAGTTAACTAAAATATTTTTTCTACATAAATATAACATTTTTATGTTTGGTTACTCATATTTGTTTATGTAATTAGAAAACAAGGTGTACATAGAATGACTACTTCAATTTCACATAGGAATCGATATCACTATAGAGGTATGTTGTCTTTAACCGGTAGTAGGAGATCCACATATCCTTTTTAATTATTTATATTAATGCTTAGTAATATCTATTTTATATTCCTATTCACCTTAATTTTTTAGGTACAAATTAAGGAAGAGAATTCTCGGCGCACCAACATAAAGTCAAACGTACGCCTTGCAAAATATGTAATTAAAATTAAATATCATATTTATTAATCGACTTATTTTAAAACTCTTTATGACATTTATATATAATGATATATTTTGTATGACTTCATTCTTAATTTCAATGTTTAATATTTGAAAGTTCATATATGAAACCTTGGATGTTTTGATGTAATATAAATAGTGTAATACAAAGTTTATTAGTTAAATATTGTTTATTAATAGCTCATTCAAAACAACTTATTTCTTATTTTATCCAAAAAATATTATCAGACATAAGAAAAATAGATTATATTAATGTTATACAAAAACTTATAATATATATTGGATATTATAAAAGTAAAAGTAAAGTTTATAAGGTATGAACTATATTAAATAGTATCAAAATATAAGTTGATGGATTTTTATGTTATTTGATAATTCGGTTAATGCCCAAAAAATGACTAAAAACATAAATTTCAACATATTTCTATTTTTCCCATAATTATTTTAACCACTTAAATGCATTCTTGCGCAACACGCGATGTTACGCCTAGTATATTAAATAATCGTAATCAACCATAACTGCAAATAACCATATGTTAAACCCATAATAACAACATAATTCAATTTTGTGTTGGGAGTTCTATTTGAAGCGGAATAGTTCATGATATTTGTTGGCATCTATATTAATTTATCTTTGGACAGGAGTGCAATATATTGAATTATTATTAGTTTACATTTGAATAACTTGATCCATTATAATTTACGATGACTAATATTTAGAGAGCTCTGCAAAGCATAAAACTAGTAGCAGTAGCTTTTCTTCCCTTCAAACCGGAGAGCTCAAAAAGTACCAATTTTTCCTTTTCTTTTTTCCTCCATCTCCAAAAAACACAAATAATATACTTGTTTTTCATGTATTAGTTTAATCTCAATCAATGTAACAAAGTTTCAACAACACAATCAGTTTTCTTTCTATTTGGTTTCTCACTCTTTCTATACGATCACAACATCCAACCCAATAGAAGCTATTGCAAAAACATGTTTTGGCAATATGTATGCAAGAACAAAACACCAGTGTGTGTTGTCTTGTGTGTTGTGTAGAACAAAACAATTGCATTTGACATGTATTAGGCTAGAACCAAGTACTTATATCTCTTGTCTGTGCAAAAGACATAAATGCCCTTATCCCTAAAAGTTTGTTGAGTGTAGTCCCGTATATAAGAGAAAAAGACAAGCGATCCATAAAAGTTGTGCAAGTCATGAAAGACTTAAGACATAAACTAAAATATACATTTACTAATAATCCTTGTGCTAATCATTACCCGAATCTTGAATAACTTGTTAATACGAAAAAGGCCGTCATATGATGATGATGATGATGATGATGATGATGATGATATGTTTGTCCATGTCCATGTCAATGTCCATCCATAAGCTAAAGATCAAGCGCACCAACTGGATCATGCAAACAAACTCACCAGACAGCACAATTTACAACAATATTAAATCAATCCCTCCTTCCCTCCCCTAATTACACAAACATTATCATTTTCATCTATCCTAACTCCATCCATACCATTACCATTACCATAAATAATACCCTCCTCCTTCCTCATTTTGGTCTCCCTGAACCCGAGTGGTGGTGCCCTTTGCTGTCCTGTTGTATCCTATCCTTATACATCGGCAACTGTATTATCTCCCTTATCTCATCCAGCAGTACCTCCTCCGTAATGTTGTCCTTTATGCTCCTCATCACCTGTCCACCATCCACACACCCATATAACCACCAAAATACATATATACGCATCAGGCGCATTACAATGTATGTAATGCGCCTGATGCATGCACCTGTTGCAAGTATCTTGCAACAGACGCAATTGCATTGTGCCTGGTGCATACAATGCTTTTGTGCACCACACCAGGCACAATGCGCCCGTATGCATAAGGCACAATGTGTATTCTGCATTGCATTGCATTGTGCCTGGTGCATACGTGCATGGGATGTAAGAGAGAAAGTGGGACCTTTCGGTATGTGTTGAAATCATTTGGTGTAGCTTTATCTGTCCTAATACGCATACACACCCATACTTCTTCCTCTTTATTCCAAGCACACTCCACAATCTTCCCTGAGTATGATGCAAGATCAATATCATCTGCAGATTCACAAGAAACAAGATCAGGGATCAAAAAATACTAAAATCATATAGGGTTTATGTCTGAGTAAAACATAACAAAAGCAACATTATTACTGACCACCAAATGCAATTCTGTTGCCCTCCATGAGCTTCTTCTTCCCTCGTTCAAAAAGAAATAGTAGCTGCCGATCTTCAGCCATCTGTTGAAGTTAGCAAGTGGTAATTATTATTGGTGTATAAGAACATAAAAGAAAATTTTGAAAAAACAAACCTCGAAAAGGAAATCAACTGAGTTCATTGATGCGTATTTCCACTTTAAAAGTCCTTCATGTGTACGAGGGACATAAGGGTCATCCCAACCCTGACATATAGAGTCCAAAATTAAAAGCCAAAAAACCATAAAATATTAATATATGTATGTGAGTGAGTGAGTGGATTTAGATTTTAGCACCTGAAAAACTAAACCATCTGCATCATGTGAAAGCCGAGGAATGAACTCCTTCAAAAGTTTAGTCACAGTAGAAAGCAACCAAAAGTCCTTCCTTCTCACCTACCAAAATCAAAACTTGACAAACATAAGTAAAAAATTCAACCGATTTTCTTACTTTTTAATTAAATGATAATAAATACCCTAAATGGCTCCAAGTCATATCTATACAACGAATGCCCATGTTTAAATATTTTATGACGTTCATGGTTTCGAGGTTCAACCACTTCCTTCTCCAGCATTTTCCATCTTTCATAAAAAGGTCTCTGCATCAAATCCAAAATATAAAAACACCACAAGATTAAAACTTAAAACCACAAAATCATAAAACTTTACCTCAATTACAGAAACTTGATTAATAGCCATCAGATCATAAATCAAATAACGTCTTTCTTGTTTGCGAGTGTCTGGCACTGTATCAATTATCATCTCCCCATCAAGCAGTGTGAAGTGGTGAACCTTCTCAGCTAAACCCTTGCAAAAAAATCACATTTTTATGTCACATCACAACCTCATTAAAATAAATAAATAATAATAATAAACTCGGTGTAAACATACTTCATTATTCAGTTTCCATGGAAATCTCATTTGTACCCTTCGAAACACAAAATTTCTGTCAATTAAATAACACCCGTCCATGGTAATCAACATCATATATCTTGTCCCATCAGCTTTCCATGTAGCATAATAGTAACGCTGCCTAAGAAGTTGCAAATTCTCCCTATTGTAAACAGGGGTAGAATTGTCAATTCACCAACAAGATAACAAAATGAGAATATACAATAATACAAATACAATCAAACCTGTCTAGAGAAACTGGATGTGAGCCTGGAAACTGATGATTCCCTCTAGCCTGAGAAGCAAGTAAACATTTTATTATGCATAATTTAATTTTCCATTGTGGAAAATAATATTTAATTACGTTATTACCCCTGCAGATAATTTTAGGGCTTGATAACAGAATTGTCGGAATCCATCTTGCTGATCTTGAGGAATACTGTCTCCTAAAACATCATCATTTGTCATCACCCCTTCTGTATCATGATTCTCTTCCTACAAATAAAAAAGTATTTGAACATCAATGATGTGAATAAAATCATAAAATTCTAAAAAGGTAAAACAAGGGTAAAAACGTACATTGAGCGGATCCACAGGAACTCCATCATCATCTTCATCTGGTAATGCCTCTCCATTTAGATCAAACTCAGAAGATCTTTTCCACTCAGGGGTAGAAGGGCAAGTGATCATATCAGGCTTTCTTTCATGGTAAAAAGCAAACAAGGCATCAATATAATCTGGTTTATATATCCCTGGAGGGCGTGCTTCGGAAAATATTTTTATTGCCTGTGTAATTTATACATAGCTGGTGTAAGTTTATAAGTTATAACTAACATGATATGAATTTAAAAAGCAATAAAATAACTGACCTGAGTTACAGACATTGGTATTGTTCTCATGAGATAATGAATGATCATATATCCTGTACGATTATGCCCATGTGTGCAATGAACAAGAATATATTTTTTCGCGTTCTTTTGTCGAGCCAGAAATTGAGAAACCTGGTGAGGATTGAAGGGCAAAATGGTCATTTTAAGGATAGAAGGAACTTGTGCGCAATGATATTAAGAATAACTTGCCTCGTATACAAACTGATTAACAGCTTCGTTCTCTGGTACAGAACCACGCCCCTTGCAGTTGATCTAAATCAAACAAAAATAATTATATATATATATATGAACAATAATCATTATATGTTAAAATAGATGCAAAACAAAGTCATGGGTGTTGTCTCTTTTTTACTTAATGCAGAAAGAAGGATTTAATCAAGAAAGTCAGGGAAATGTAGCATTGTAGCAATGAGACTTTGATGACTTTCCCCTTTATTCTTTAAGTCCTAACTTTTTACAAATTTGCCCTCGTTTGTTTTTTCCTTCATTGTCTCAAATAATTTTTAAACATAATTTATCCATACTCCAGAAATTGATGAGTAGAAAGTATTTAGAAACTAACCTTAACATACTTGATGCCTTCTTTCTTCCAATCATTCACAGAATAGTAACGAGATGTATTTGTAAGATCAATTACTAACCCCAGCTGAAAAAATATCAATCAAAAATCAAATAAAGAATAGCTTCCCACAATTAGTCCAATCATACACAATACATAACAAGGCATTGCAGAAATAAACAGAAAAAGATAATGCTTTTTTCAAAGGTCAAGTGATAACATATATAGTAAAAAAATCAGATATATAGAAAGACTCATACTCACCTTCCTCCCCAAAACTCTTTGTTGGTGAATGACTTGTCTAAAGGAGTATCTTTTACCAGGGACAATACAGTCATTAAAAGACTCACCAAGAGGAACTTTAGAAGGAACAATACAACCTATTTCATGACCATATGCAGGACAATCCAACCATCCTACAATATCAAAAGTTGAATAATATAAAGTAGGTGTAAATTTAACAATCTGATAATATATTATATATGATATATCAACCATGAATGATAGCATACTTACCTGGTGGAAGCCTGCTCTTATCATATGTTCTCTGATTCTTTGTATGAAAAAGATGATCTTCCATAGACTTATAAGCTGGTTGTGTTGGTGTTGGTGTTGGTCTGTGTGTTGGTCTATCATCAGGGCGTTCACGTTTCAACCTTAGCTTTCTTTCTTCACGTTCCTGATTCAAGAATGTAGATTTAAGGGTCTAATCATGAATCATGATACTTGTACATATATAATTATATATACACACACACTAATTGTTAAGGCACATACGAAAGTAACAGGGTAGAGGACATATCAACTGTAAATGCAGTAAAACAACAAGAGAGTGAAGTACCCTGCGCATAATATCCACTGCTGTCTCTACATGTTCTACATGATGATGATGATGATGATGATGATGATGATGATGACTTGGCTTTTCTTCTGGTGCACTGTCCTCACTGAGAGTTTGTTCATAAATCTCTTCATCTTCTTCGGGTTCAGGCGATGCATTTAAATCCATGCTTATGTTCACTCAAAGATCAAGACAAGATAACTTATAACCTGGTCACAAAGGAGAAAATGCATCAGTATTAAAACTGGCAAGATTAAAGATAAAAGAACTGGTGGGAAAGAAAAGTAGTACTGACACATTTCTATCTTTGCCAATGCCACTCTAGAAATGTGAAATACAGAAAATCTTTACTTATGCCAGGTGACCAAAACATAGGCATCTCTAATTAGAGTAAACATAGTCAAATGCGAATCATTTACATTTTGATATGGCCAACGAAATCAGAAAGCACATTTATGAAAGAGATGTAAAGGGAAAGAAAAATCTACAAGGCCCTTTGATGACAATTGCAAACAGAAATGGATAAAAAAGTGCATACAGGATTTACCATTTGAATTTATGAAAACAAGGAGTAAAGATAATATGCAATTCAGGGAAAACATGAGAATAATGAAAAGGAAAGAGCTAAACTTGGACTTTGAATTCAAACGGACTCCTTTTCAACTTCAGTATTGGAAATTTTAAGCTTTTATAGGTGAATTCACTAACTAAACCACAGACATAATAATGTTGGAGGCAGTTCAGCAAAATCTTAGATACCAATTTGTGCTTGTAATTGTAAAGTACTTTCGTATCAAAAAGTATAGTGCTGCTCTTTTTCTAGGGGAAATGAACGACCTCTATAAATCACTGCGCGTAACCCTAATAGCTCTCGAGACTAATTTTCTCGAATTGTTAATAATCAGTACGATCAAAACCACATTGCGTCCTATTACCGTACACCTGAGCAAAAACCTAACTTAACAATCGAACAAAAGCATAAATCATGGCTGCAAATTGAATCCGAGAACGAAGAATAAGCAAAGGAGTGGTTAATGAACAAGTTACAGGGAAACAGCTCAAACCTCGAGTAACAACAATTCTTCAAACTTCACCCTAACTGCTCCATGAACCATGCAATATATAGAATCGTGAAGCCGAAAGCCCTTTTAATTGGTGGGAAGTCTTGAAAAAGGAAAGATTTGTTGACTCATAAACCCTAGAGATGAAAAATAATGGGAAGAAAAGAAAGAAACAGAGATCGCAACTTTAGATACCAAAGAACATGACGAAGGACGACGACCGAGTATTAAAGAGGGAGCTGGAAAAAGAGCGAGCTATCACAAGATTCCAATTTTCATTTTAAGTTTAATTTTAATCAAATGAATCTCCCAAATATTATCATGTATTCATATTGTCTCTAAAATTATTTTTAATCAAACTAATCTTCCAAATATTATCATGTATTCGTATGATCTCTAAAACTATTTAGAGTGAATTTATTTTTTAGTTATTCACTAAAATATCATATACTATTTTATATGTTTATTAATGCCTTGTTTTTCTGAATATATAAGAAAAATAATAGATGTTTATATGAATTTCGTTAAATTCACCAATAGATTTTACTTATAAAATATTTTTACTTTTACTTGTATAATACCTCACGAATTTATTAATATTCATAAATGTTGCATTTTTTGTTAATTGAAGATAGATCAATTGGTTAAGGTGTTTGCTTGTTGTAGAGAATGGTTTGAGTTTGAATGTTGTTAAAATTGTTTTTATTATCAAACAAAAGGAAAAAAAAACAAAAAACGTATATGTAGGATTCGAATTCACACCATCCAACATAGAAACATAAGACACTAATCAACTAAGTTAACATGTATATGTTGCTAAATTCCAATGAATGTCGTTTTATAGTTGAAACAAAAAAACAGAAAATACAGAATTTCCGTGAGTAAAAACGAAGCACCATTTGTGAGCATTATATATTTTCCACGAGAAAAACAAAAATAACGTACATTTAAAAAAAACGCAAGTAAAATCAAAAACTAAGAATTGTAAGCTATAGTTAAGATAAATTTGCTAAAAAAAGTGTTATTTAAATTGTTAACTTGTATGTTTTCTTATATATGAATAATATGTTCAAATCTCAACAAAGACAATTAAATATTATTTTTATTTTTCAGTTCCAAATTTAAAAGAAAAAAAAATGTATGTTTATGCTTTTCATACTTATTTCTTGACCATAATTTAAAATTTCTAGTTTGTAAGTTTTACTCGTGAATTTAATTTATAAAAAAAAAAAAAAAAAAAAAAAAAACCTCTTGTTTTCATTTTTAATTACGGAAAATATATAATGTTTGCAAATGGTTGGCGAATTGTGGATGTATTGGCAATTTTTTATAACAAGGTATTTCTTTTGTATTAGGAAAATAACACCGTACTTTTGTTAGTAATTTTGGTGATCATTAAGTAACAAAATTACACAAAAAAATGGGACAGAACTATAATAAGTAACTCCATATAGTAATTTTAGTGAATAATTTTTTTTGATTAATGTCAAAATTAATTACTAAACTATTAAAATTATACTTGTTTTCCATTTAACTTTTTTAATTTATAAGGTCGCTAAACTTATTAAATTTTGTCGTAGTTGTCATTATGATCGATGACAGTAGGTTCTACGTTTTTGTAACGTCCTAAAAATACTAAGTAACAATTTTTGTTTTAAATCAACCAAAACCATCAATCATTCGTTTCAAAACCCAACAAAGTGCGACGATATGTAAAATAGTTATCAGAGTACAAATCATATCATCAAATGCGGAACACTAGTGGATGCGCTGCAATCACGTCGAGCTCTTCCTCTTGGAACCGGAAGTATCTGAAAAAACATTGTAAACATAAGTCGTAAGCAAAAAGCTTAGTGAGTTCCCCAAAATACCATATATCATACATAGATTGGGCCCCGCCCGGTACAGATCTGTCAGTAACATGTAGTGGGCCCCGCCCAAACATACAAACAAATACATACAATAGTCATAAAGACAACTAGCATTCTATGAACATAATACAATAGGTCGTATTGGTGTCTTCTACCCGCAAATAGTGTGAGGAGACTCACCTCAATATGAAGATAACCGAATCTTACACACGATGCTGCTACAAAAGCTCCTCACACTAAACATATCAAAACCAACCCTAATTGATAATTAGGGTAATAACCCACAATCAAAGGTTCATTTCATATTCTCTCTCACTAGGTTAAAAGACTATTTTACCTTTCCAAGGATAGACCCATCCAACTTGGCTCAAAGCCCAACAATGGCCCGTTTCCACTTTTGGGAGTACGCTAAGCGTACTCCTTCAATACGTCATGCATACCGAGTTTCCACAGAAAAACGGGGCCAAGCCTCACTACGCGTTGCGTACTCATAGGTTACGTCATGCGTAACCGAGCAATTTTGACAACCTCCTTATTATTGAGACCAAACGTACAACACTTAGATCTAACTCTAACGGACGTCTAAAGTCATAAAGTTATTGACTTTATGACCTTGCATAACTTTATGACTTTGCATGGCTTAATGGAGTCTAAAACCAAACCTTAGATCCTTAACATCCTCTAATGACTCCAAACCCTTGCATGGGTGAAAAGCAACCATCAAGATCCCATTTTTATGATTTAAAATCCTCAGAAATGATAGGATGTGACAATCACAAGCTCTGGAGTAGCTTTTACTCACAAGAACCAAAAGCATGGGACCAAAAGCATGTAAAACTCTAAGCTAACCTAAATCTAAACCAAGGAATCATAAAGGTTCAAGCTTTATACCTTCTAAGGCTTGTAAATGGGATGGAAGTTCTGGATCTTCAAGCTCCAAGCTCACCAATACTTCTTTGATGGATTCCTTCTTCACAAAACACACAAAAACTCACTCAAAATACCCAAGATCTTCACAAAGTAACTAGGGTTTCGAAATGACTACTTTGGGGAGAGTGGAGATTGAGCATGAAGAGACCTAAAGGGACTTAAGGTGTTTAAATAGGGTCTCAACCCTAAAATTTAGGGTTTGGGATCAGCGTGAGTACGCCCTACATACACATCATGTACGCCCAGCGTACTGCATTGTAACGCTTGATTCAGGTATCATTTATTTCTCAACATTTTAGGGTTTTGGACTGGAACTCGACGAGTTGGGGAGCTCCAACTCGTCGTGTAGGGATCTTTTTGGACGCGAGATTAAAGGTCTACTCGACGAGTTCGAAGGCCTCAACTCGACGAGTAGACGCTGGAAAGGAAAACCCTAATTTTCAGGGTTTGTACCCTATTTAAAGGCATTAAGCCTCATTGTTAGCCTCCCTCATCGTCCTCACAGTCCAGAGAAACCTTAAATCGTATCTCATCTTCCATATTTGAGTGTGTGTGAGTAAAAAGAGTGTGTTTCTTGGTGTTTTCTTGAAGGAGTTCAAGTTGGTGGTGCATAGTTGAAAGGAGAGGCTGTAGATCTGGTGTTTACTCTGTTGTGGCAACCATTTTAAGGTATAAAGTCGATACCTTGACCATTCTTTTTCTAGATCTTTTCACTTGAAAGTTTATGGCCATTATTAGCCTATTAGGGGACCATTCTTGGATTTGAGCATGTTATGAGCATATGGCTTCAGATCTGGACATCTCATGGCCTTTGTGGACTTAAAGTTGCCAACTTGATCAAGTCTTGGCCGTCCTTCATGCTCTAAGTCCCTTGATAAGCTTTGGTTGAGTGTTTTGGCCCTTTTATGCCTTGCATGGATGTAAAGTTAGCAACTTTATGTGGTATCTTAACCCTAGGGGGACCAGATCTGTAGTTTGGGGCTTTATATTCGACTGGAAGGGGCTAAATATGTTAAGACTGGGAAAACTCGACGAGTTGGATCGGGTTTTCCCGCTTTCTGGATACTGAGCGAACTCGGCGAGTTGATAAGATAACTCGACGAGTTGGCTAGGGTTTTTCCCGGTTTTCTGAACACCGAAGGAACTCGACGAGTTGCTAGATGCACTCGACGAGTTGCTAGATGCACTCGACGAGTTGGGTCAACATGGATTGTTGACCTTGACTGTTGACTTTGACTTTGACCATGGTTGACCAAGTTTGACTTTAAGGGTATTTTTGGTATTTCGGGATTTTGACAAAGTTAGTCACATGATGGTTGTAGGCAATTGAGTTGGAGCTACGAGTTGGGATTGATCTTACCAGTTCAACATTTCTTGAGAGGTGAGTCTCCTCACCATACCAATGGGTCGAAGGCACCAAGGCCGGCCCATTTTATGATATGTGATATACTAGTTGATTATGTGTTATGTGGTATGCTAGTTGTTTCTGTGATACTTGCATGAAAGACCCCGGGGAGCCCGAGGCGCTTGGATATCAGACCATGTGAGGGAGCCCATGACATTCCAGGTAAAGACCATGGGGGGAGCCCATGACACTTGGATATCAGACCATGTGGAGGAGCCCATGGCATTCCAGGTAAAGACCATGGGGGAGCCCATGACACATAGGTATAAGACCCTGGGGGAGCCCATGGAATCTTGGAGTAAGACCCTGGAGGGAGTCCATGGCATCCATATATGTTTATATGCATGGTTTATGTGATTGATATGGTTATGTGGTTATGTGGATTATGTGGGGTATGCACTGGGGGAACTCATTAAGCATTAACTTACAGTTTGTTAATTGTTTTAGGTACTTCAGGACCTAAGGGCAAGGACCCGGCTTGATGGCGCATCATGCACTCTCTGGCGTTTTATTTTGGGACACTCTGATGTTTTGCATAATTTATCTGATGTTATGGATTTTTGAAAACAAATGTGATTGGAATGTTATGTTTTATGAAAATGATTTTGTTATTTAAAAATGAAAATTTTTATTGCAAGTTTGGGTTGTTACATGCATGAAGTCTGTGTTCTACTTTAATGACTTACGTCTGTCGTACACTTTATGTACGCCTAGCGTAAATGCCATATTTGCAAAGATTGAATATTTTGAGCCATGAATGGAAAATACTTGGAAAAATGGATGTTACAGGTGTCAAAAGGCACGTTCAGTCCCTATTTTCAAAAATTAATTCGGACCGTCTCTCGTTTGGTTAAAAGTTACACGTTTAATCCCTCATTAATTTAAATTTGCATGCTTCATCCCTTACGAGAAATGAAATGACTATAATGTCCTTTTCAATTTATTTTTCATTTATTTTTTTTATATTTTTGATTACTTGTAATTATTAAAAATTATTTTAATTAGTTTTCAATTTATTTTTTATATTTCTGATTTCATATACTGCT